AATTCCCTACTTTAATTATTAAATGTGTTTTCTGTTGGGAGGTAAGCTTGCTAAGTGCTGGGAGTAATTTAAAAAAACCTCCACAGCCCCTCTAATACTCGCCTGAGCACGATCTTGATCCAGCGCTGTGCACAGAGTCTTGGCTGTCCCGGGACTCCCTCTCCTCATTGGCTCAGATAGCAAAGGGAGCCATTAGCTCCCACTGCTGTCAATCATAGCCAGTGAGCCAATGAGGAGAGAGCAGGGGACAGGGCCGAGTCGCTGCTTTATGTATCTTATGGACACCTAAAGAAGGGCTTGGGAGTGAGCATGCACCAATGCCCCCATAGCAAGTGGCTTGCTATTGGAGGCACTGGTTAAGGGGAATGAAATAACCACAAATGTCTTTTCTGTGCTCACAGCATTATCAGTTTTATTCAACCCCCAAGTGACATTCAATCTTAGTACTTAGTACAGCATCCTTTTACAGTTATAACAGCTTTTAAACGTGAAGCATAGCTTGACACAAGTGTCTTGCAGCGATCTACGGGTATCTTCGCCCATTCTTCATGGGCAAAGGCCTCCAGTTCAGTCACATTCTTAGGCTTGCGCACTGCAACTGCTTTCTTTAAGTCCCACCAAGGTTCTCAATCGGATTTAAGTCTGGTGACTGCGATGGCCACTCCAAAATGTTCCAGCCTTTCCTCTGCAACCATGCTCTAGTGGACTTGGAGGTATGCTTGGGATCATTGTCCTGTTGAAAGGTCCAACGTCTCCCAAGCCTCAGGTGTGTGACGGACTGCATCACTTTTCCATCCAATATCTCCTGGTACTGAAGAGAATTCATGGTACCTTGCACACGCTGAAGCTTCCCTGTACCTGCAGAAGCAAAACAGCCCCAAAGCATGATTGACCCTCCACCATGCTTCACAGTAGGCAAGGTGTTCTTTTCATCATAGGCCTTGTTCTTCCTCCTCCAAACATAGCGTTGATCCATGGGCCCAAACAGTTCTAATTTTGTTTCATCAGTCCACAGAACACTATCCCACAACTTTTGTGGTTTGTCCACATGGCTTTTGGCATACTGCAGTCGACTCTTCTTATTCTTTGGAGACAGCAAGGGGGTACGCCTGGGAGTTCTGGCACGGAGGCCTTCATTACGCAGTGTGCGTCTTATTGTCTGGGCTGAAACTTCTGTACCCACATCTGACAAATCTTTTCTCAGTTCCTCAGCAGTCACACGGGGACTTCTCTCCACTCTACGCTTCAGGTAGCGCACAGCAGTCGAAGTCAGCATCTTCTTTCTGCCACGACCAGGTAGCGTTTCAACAGTGCCCTTTGCCTTGAATTTGCGAATGATGCTTCCTAAGGTGTCTCTTGGTATGTTTAACATCTTTGCAATCTTCTTATAGCCATTGCCCTTCCTGTGAAGAGAAATCACCTCTTCTCTTGTCTTCCTGGACCATTCTCTTGCCTTCACCATGTTTGTAACCACACCAGTAAATGTCTAGAAGGAGCTGAGTATCACAGTCATTTTAAAGCTGCCTAATTGGTGCTTATTATGCTTGATTGCTGCTCGGTGACATCCACAGGTGTTTTCAATACCTGATGGAAAGCACCTGTATGAACCTCTGTTCTTCAGAGTGGTAGTCTTTAAGGGGTTGAATAATTGTGGCAATGAAGAAACCACATAAGAACCATTTACTACTGTATTACATAAACAATTGATGTCATTTTAGTTGCATTTGGGTAGTTTACAACGTCCTTGTAGGATTTGATTCTGAATACAATTCCAAATGTACACTATAGTCCCTAAACCCCTTTACAGCATTGGGGGTTGAATAATTTTGGGACACAACTGTATATGCAAAACCTCTGCACAGAGCAGGTAAGTATATTTGTTATTAAAAAAAAAAACAAGCCTTTAATAACACTTAAAAGTTAACCCTGTGGACAAGCTATTTACCATTAAGTATTTGCAGTAAATAATTTTTAAAACAAGCTCTCACTGACCTCTGTAGTTACAGGTAATGTGGAATTATGTACCGTCAAGGTTCACAACAGAGATTGCAAAGTCAAGTTTTTGTCAGTTTCTGAACAGTGGGCTGTTTTTTTTTTTAACAATAGAGGGCAAGCAGGCTGCAATTTCAGAGTCTCTGGTGAACTTTGAGGATGAATTTCTCCACAGTACCCGATATGTGCTTGCTGCCCCTGTGAGGTTGGTGTAGTAAGAATTTAAAGGCAGAGTGATAGTTTCTCTGGCCACCGCAGTGCACCACTCCACCCCAAGTTTTTCATCTTGGAGGAATTCACAGTTGGGTTGTTAAAAGGCAGGAAATTCCTGACTAGGGGTAGAATGCACTACGAAGTGAGGTTTACAGTGTATGTGAAGTGGCTGTCTGTGCAGCTAACGAACAGACCCCAGAGCTGATGGAGTTGTACATACCCCCTGAGTGAGGAGAAACTTACTATACTCTTTTGTAAACAAGTGAATGTGAGCACAAACACACTCTGAACTGTCACTTAGTGGGTGAACTGTTTTTTTTTTTTTAATGACCCCCCCCCATACACACACAAACACACAAAGTGTTAGTGGTCTTCTAATATTGCTTTAGCACTTCAGGATCTCTTTCTGAACTATAATTGCAAGGGCTGTCTCTAAGGTGTGGCCTTAAGTAGGTAAATGATGCATTAATTTGTATTAGTATTATTATTATCCAGCTTTAGAAGCTGCCAATTGGCATTGCCTGTTGCTGTTGCATCTATTATCTACAATAAAATTCAGATCCTCTCTGTCATGGATTTTCCCTGCAAATGCCCTGCAAATTAAAGTGTTACTAAACCCAGGACCCTGCATTTACTATATCTGCTCTCCCACAGGTCACAGAACATGGAAGTGCAATTATTTTAGTAAATTTAAACTGCTAAATACCTTTTCTCATCAGCAGTTAGAGCAGTCTTGTGACTACTATCAGTGTCCAGCCACGCACATGCTAAAGCTTGTAGAAAGAGTTTTCATTTTGCACTAGGAGGATGCAGAACCCATGACCTCTGTTTGGACAGCATTGGCCCTGTGCTGCTCACATGCACTCTCCCAATGAAAAAAAACTCTCTAGCAATACACACCAAACTGACCATGTGTCCATATGATATGTCTTATCTGGAGATAAGAGGGGGACACTGGAAGAAGGGGAGGATCAGAGAAGTCAGGATCAAACAGCGTTTTTACACAATGATTAATGATTAGGTTCCACAGTGAGTATAACAAGCATGCTTTACTGCATATACAGACTGATTTTACCGTTTACTGGGTTTAGTAACACTTTAACATTCAAATCTAGGAATTTTCATCTTTCCACAATAAAACTCATTTGGCATTATCTCCCAATACCCCGATGTTTCTAGGCTAGCCTAATGCTATAGCACATTTTACATTATTTTATCACACTACATAGCTTGATTTATAACAAAAACATTTATATGAATTACCGATGACACTTAGCTGGACACAGCAGGATGCATCTGGACCAGGGGTACCAAAAGTAGGTGAACATGAAGCTGAGGAGGAGGGGGCTGTAACCCATCTTTTATCTTAGCCATAACACTTTTTCTACTCTAAGAAATTTTCTCCCCACTTTCCTTCTTGATTAAATTTTTAAAGTGTCACATCACAGGTCCCTGAAGGCTGCGGAACCATTCACAGAGTGCAGCGTGGCTCTCACATGTGCAACGGGAAGCTGTGTGTGAAGCCGCAGGGAGTCACATCCAGATTCCCTTAGTAGACATGACAGAGCCGGGGACCTGAAGACTGGCAAAGAACAAGCCCAGTGCTTGATCCATGGACAGGTAAGTGTTCTTTTTTAAAAAAAATCAGCAACTACAGTCTTTGTAGTTGCTGTTTTAATTTTTTGTTAAGACTGAAGTTCCTCTTTAATGTCAGGACCAGAAGTAAAAATAAATCTCCCCAACAGGGACACAAACTTGACAAACATTATAAGCCATTCCTATGCTTTTCTAGACCGAAACAATTTTGCTTGGAGTTGGGCTTTAACAATTTGTACAGATAATTATTATAAAGGAATTGGAATTTGGTATGGTTTATGGTGCATTTTTTTTAGCATTTATACTACTTCTCAAGCTTGAAGGATCTAAAGAAAATCTGCTTCATTTTTAAATTGCTAAAACTTGTATACGGGATCATATTCTATTAGTATAAACCCATTAATTACAACAAATTGATAGGAAAGGGTCATTCTATGTTATTTTGTGTATATACAGTAGGTATCAGGGGCGGACTGACCATTCGAGCATTCAGGCACTGCTCGAGGGCCCGGGGTCAGTAGGGGGCCCCATGAAATTCCCCTGGTACCTTTTATATAGGCTTTTTTGGGTGTTTTTTGAGTGTGGGCAAGGACACAGGGGCCCGATGATGGACACAGTCCGCCGCTGGTAGGTATGTATATGTTTGAAAAACATGTATCTGAATGCATGACTAATGATAGGTATTGGTCAATTGCAGCATGAATTAATGGATAACCTTCATTTGATGGTTAGTATTCCAATATATGTATGACAAGAATTAACGTTATACTTAAAAATGTCTAAAAATAAATAATGATAAACTTTATATAAAGCATATATACAGTGTTCCTAGCTGATATTTGACACTGTTGATTGACTAAATTTTGTATGAGAAAGACATGGTAGTTTGTTTCACAGGGGAAAACTGTAATGTTATAAATTAATAGGCTCAGTTCACTAAGCTATAAAACAAGTGTTCTTTGTCATAACAATATTCAACTATGTGACTTTTATTTCCAGCTCTCACCATTTAAAAGATCATTATAGGTTATTATATCGAGCTCAATGTTGTGTGTTTGATTATGTGCACAGTATAACAATAATAATTTGAAGTAAAAGCATGATGCATCTGTTTACACTTCAGTAATGATTGCATGCTTTATATACTAAATGAAATACTGTATTTTTTGTTCTAGATATTACTGTGAAGAAGCACAAACCTCATAGTAAGCCCATATTCCAGGCTGCTTTGTATAGGGGCCAGCTGGTCCAGATCCCAAGGTAGGAGCACCAATGGCAGTGTCAAATTGGTTTCTCAGACGGAAAGTGCGTCCATAGGTTGGGAAGCCTACTATGAGTTTAGAAGCTGGTGCACCATGGTTCTTCCAGTAGTTCAAGGCATAATCCTTGAAAAGAAACGATTTATGTATAAATATTTGATAATATAGGGCAGGGGAGTTAATGTAGAAATGAATGAATGAATGAATGAATGAATAAGCAAGTGCAACATAGAGAGGTAGATTGGATAGAGAGAGAGGCAGATTTCTAGATAGATAGATGGATAGATGGATAGGATAGATAGATAGATAGATAGATAAATAGATAAATAGATAGATAAATAGATAGATAAATAGATAGATAGATAAATAGATGATAGATTGAAAAGCCAACATGTTCCATACTTTTAAATATATTCTACTCACAACATTCAAGCTATGTGGTCCAAACAGTGGGCTGTTCTCTCCAGTATATCCTTCCCAAGCACCATGCAGGTCATAGGTCATGACATGGATGTAATCCAAAGCTCTGTGTGGTTTGGAATAATAACAACATCGGTTTACTGACATGAAATAATGCAATTAGCAACCGTATGCTATATACAATATAATATCTAAACAATGTAAACAGTATTTAGCATAATCTTCTTACTTAGAGATTTGAGGTATCTCATAACTTGACAGAATTTTGCCTATACCAGAGGCAACGGCAGCAGTTATCATGAGTCTCTGTTTCTTGGCTTTTAAGGCTTCTGATTTAAAAGCTGCTTTGATTTCCTACAGAAACAATAATAATCATGTTAGTAAGGGATTTACCATTTATTCCTGCCCTCTTAGAAAGATCAGTGATGTGTTATAAAGCATGTACAGTAAGTTATGGTATTTGTTAGCAGTCAGCAGCTGGCATTTCAAATTTGTATAAGAATAAACTATTTCTGTAAATAATATTTTTAAAAAATCTGCATTAACTATCAAAAACCTATATTTTCAACAACTAATGTAAGGGATCTATGAATATTGGCATAAGGCCAATGTGTTGCCAATATTTAAAAAGGGGTCAGAATCTTTACCAAGTAATTATAGACCTGTTAGTTTAACTTCTGTAGTTGGGAAGATACTGGAGAGTTTAATAAAAGACTACATAGGTGAGTTCTTGCTGGAAAAAATATTTTAAGCAACAGACAGCATAGATTTATGAAAGACAGAAGTTGTCAGTGGTGTACCCCAAGGTTCAGTGTTGGGACCCTTACTTTTTAATATATTTATAAACAATATAGGGTCTGGGATTAAAAATTCCATTTCAGTCTTTGCAGATGACACCAAGCTGTGCAGTGGAATAACGTCCTTTCAGGATGTCTTCAATTTACAAGCCGACCTCAATGCACTGTTTAATTGGGCAACTATGTGGCAAATGAGGTTTAATGTTGATAAATGTAAGGTTATGCACTTGGGGGCTAAGAATATGCATGCATCATACATACTAGGGGGGGGTACAACTGGGGGAATCAATGGTGGAGAAGGATCTGGGGGTTCTGGTAGATCACAAGCTTAATAATGGCATGCAATGCCAAGCTGTGGTTTCTAAAGCGAACACAATCCTCTTGTATTAAAAGAGGTATAGACTGCTAAGAGAGATATATCATATTACCCCTGTACAAATCATTAGTAAGACCTCATCTGGAATATGTAGTTCGGTTTTGGGCACCATTTAACAAAAAAACATTGGGGAACTGGAGAAATTACAGAGAAGGGTAACCAAACTGATAAGAGTCATGGAGGAGCTCAGCTATGAGGAAAGATTAGAGGAACTGAATTTATTCTCTCTTGAGAGGAGGAGATTAAGGGGGGATATGATCAACATGTATAAATACATCAGTGGTTCATATAGTGAACTCGGTGTAGAGTTATTCACCCTGAGGTCATCACAGAGGACAAGGGGGCGCTCTTTACGTCTGGAGGAAAAGAAATGTAATCTCCAAACATGGAAAGGTTTCTTCACAGTAAGAGCTGTGAAAATGTGGAATAGACTCCCTCAAGAGTTGGTTCTGTCCAGCTCAGTGGATTGCTTTAAAAAAGGCCCGGATTGTTTCTTAGATACACAGAATATAATCTGGATATTAACATTTATAGGTAAAGTTGATCCAGGGAATATCTGCTTGCTTCTTGGGGGATCAGGAAGGAATATTTTTTTCCCCGCAGGAGCAAATTGGTTCATGCTTTGCTGTGTTTTTTTTTGCCTTCCTCTGGATCAACTGTGGGTATAGGATTATAAATTTTTATTTTTTTAATTGTTGAACTGGATGGACTTTTGTTTTTTTTCAGCCAGACTAACTATGTAATACTATGTAACAGTGAAAACTAAAAATAAATTATTATTTTGATACATTTTTACATTAAAAATGATAAATAAATGTAATATATTACAGTAAATACATATCTATGGGGTTTATTTACTAAAGGCAATTAGACTGTACACTTTGCAAAGTGCAATTGTACTCTGCAAGTGCAGTTGCTCCAGAGCTTAGTAAATGGGGTAAAGCTTCCCTTTGCCAAGAATACCCAATCACATGCAAGGAAAAAAAAAACCCAGAAATTTTCCTTACACATGATTGGATGATGGAAGTCTGCTCATTTACTAAGCTCTGGAGCTTGCAAAGTGCACAGTCTAATTGCCTTTAGTAAATCAACCTTTATGAGTCAAAACAATGCACCTTCTCTGGAAATATAAAATTTATATTCTTTTAAAACCTGACTTCTAGTCTGGATATTGTATAATGTGTGCTGTATAACTTCAATATGTACATATAGTACATGTGATGTATTCTAGACTCCTGACTTTTACCAGGCTACCTGCAGCAGAAGAGTAAATAGATGTCTGTCTTGTGGAGGGCTACCTCGGGCCCCAGGGTATTCCCAATCTATATCCAGGCCATCAAAGTCATACTTTCGCAGGAACTCAATCACAGACTTAATAAATGTTTCACGGTTCTTGAATGTTGAGACCATGGCAGTAAAACTGTGCAGTGAGAAAGGACAGCAAGTCTTGTAATCCCAAGTTATATTACAATCAGTGTGAGCATATATTTTGCATTATTTTTATTCAAAGGGCAAGACTAACAAAAATAGTCCAGATTTTGGTAAATGTTGCAAAGTTAAACCGTCTAACAGTATTTATTTCTGATGTAATCCAGAGTGAAAACATCAATGCTTGAGTTCTGCACGTCTACTGCAGCATTTATCATGAGTAGAAAGGTCCTCTTTTCCATCTGGATTTTATTTTTCTGTTATAGTAAAAATGCAGCAGAATTATTGGCAGTACCCTAAGGTAAGTGAAAACAACCAAAACTTCCAGGTATGTAGGAAGAGAACCAGAATTAATAGTCAAAGATTCCCCTCGCTGGTAACCGCAAGAACTCTAAGAAGCCATCAGGTTACTCCATCAACCATATTCTGTGTGAAAAAAAATAAGTTTCACTGGCCCTCTATTAATCTGTACTTACGGTGCAGTTCCAAAGTTCCATCCACCAACTGATATTAAAGTTTTCAAATTTTTGTTCCTAAGAAAATAAATTAATGACTGTTTAAGTGCTAAATCTACATTGGTATAATATTTGAATGCAATATTTACATTTTAAATATGCAATAAATACATAAAGAGTGTAACTAAAATGATCTAATGAATCAGGGGGAAAAGCAACCATTTTAATGAAAAACAAAGACAGTCTGTTTACTTGGTAGGCACATTGGCATGTTAACATTTGTTTGACTATTAGCATCAGAATTATACTGTATGTCTATAAATAGTGCTGTGACAAATATTAGGCTCAATGACCCTATTTATAAGCTTATAAAGCCTAGTATTTGTTACGGCATAGCTCTGATTTGCAGTGCATTTGAACATTACTGGGTGGCTTTTGCTGCTAATAATGCCCAAATACATTTTCTTCACAGTCTGCAGCTGACCCCATAAGTTTCCTGGCTTTTGCTCCCATCACCGGTTTTGAATCAACTTCCGTAATTACCGGTATGTTCATTATCTGTTTTTATATTACTGTAAATTGTAGTGAGTTGATTTTTATGCTGTGTGTGTTGGGAGTTGAAGGTAGCTGAACAAAATAGATGAAAAATTAAATTCGACCCTGAAACAGCTTCAACGGGTTACTGGTTTTACACATTTTAGCCTTATTTGGCGTAATGATAATTACCCAGAGTTGGCTAAGTTACAACATGCCTCAAGATGGTGTGGACTAGGTGTCACTAATCTGCGCTACATCTTTACTAATGGCATTCTCCACACTTTTGAGGAATTACAGGAGATGTTTTCATTGCCAATGTCTGTTTACTTCTATTATATTCAACTGCTGTAGTGACGCAAGGTGCTTCTGCAGTATGGCGCTAATCCTCCACTCTAGTGTTTAACATGATGCCCAATGCAGTCTCTACTAAAGGTTTCATATCCTGTTGCTACGCCATGCTGCAGTTGGACTTTCTAAATTTGTTTCCCTTGACGGTGGAGAGGTGATGGAGATGGACCCTTTTATAGAGGACCAGTGGGAGGAAGCTCTTCAAGCAGTGCCACCGTGTTCTCTTAATATAACACAAAGGCTTATGCAATTGTACATACTTCATAGGGCAAACTACACTAGGCTGTGCAGGTTGGGCCTCTTAACTGACCCTACTTGTAGTAAATGTTGACAGGACCACAATGACCTAATTCACTTACTGTGGCAGTGCCCTAAACTGCACATATACTTTGCAGGGGTAGTGAATACAGTCAATGCTATTTTTCAAATCTCAATTCACTCAACCCTAAACCATGCCTACCAGGCATACTAGATGACTTCCAGTTACCAGCTCAGAGTCATTTTATGACATTGGAAATCACTTGATCCCCCTTCCCATAAAGAATGGTTACAATACATGGGAGAAACTCTCAGGATGGAGAAGTGCATACTGTATACCAACACAGGGGATGCCCTCATAAAAATTATATCCTTTGAGGCCTATGGTTGGATAACCTGAGCTTAAGCCCGCTAGACCTATTAATATTATTATATAGGATTTACTGTATATAGGAGATAATACAGCAATGATACAGTTCAATACAAGAGGGTTGGGAGGGCCCTGCTCCTTGTAGCTTACAATCTAAGAGGGAAGGGCTGGTGCTACAAAAGGTAATAGCTGTGGGGGATGAACTGAGAGGAGGAATAGAAGATTCCATTATTAGCTGAAGGTGGGATAGGATTCCTAAAGAGATAGTTTTTTAGAGATCACCTAAAAGTGGGCAGAGTAGGCGATAGACAGATAGATTGGGGTAGAGAGTTCCAGAGGATGATGGAGGCTCTGGAGAAGTCCCGGAGAAGAGCATGAGAGGAGGAGACAAGGGAGCTAGAGAGCACGAGGTTGTGGGAGGAGGGGGGAGAGGGCAGTTTGGATGATATTTGGAGACAAGATTGGTGATGTAATTTCGGGCAGAGTTAAAAATGGCTTTATACGTTATTGTTAATGTTTTGAATTTTATTCATTGGGCAATGGGAAGCCAGTAGAGGGATTGGCAGAGAGGGATGGCAGATATTGAACGGTTAGTAAGGTGGATGAGTCTGGCAGCAGCATTCATGATAGACTGAAGAGGGGATAGCCTGCAATTAGGTAGGCCAATGAGGAAGGAGTTACAATAGTCAAGGCGAGAGATAACAAGGGAGTGAATAAGTTGCTTAGTGGTTTCAGAGGTTAAGAACGGGTGTATCTTTGAGATGTTGGAACTAGTCATGAATAGGCTCCTGACGGGTTAATGTAAGCGCATTTACGCCTGTGGCTAGAAAATTGAGGAAGTTACCTATGTTGTATACTGTTTTTCATTTACTGTGACGCTAATATGCTTTCTGATTTAATTGCTCATCTCTGTTGTGATAAGCCAAGTCTGTATCATTGTCTGATCGTGATTATGTACTTGGAACTGTTAATTTTGGCTGTGAAAGCTGATCTGCTCTGGAACCACTGTATTTCTTATTTTCTTTTTCAATAAAGCCTTTCTTGAGTTAAAAAAAATTTGGCCCTGGCTCTATTAAACAAAACAGATTGGTGAACTAAAGAAAAAGAGAGGAAAAACCTCTGCTGCTAGCAACCAATCAATCAATCACATGAGTAGCCACAATGAGCAGCTCAGTACAAATCAATGAAATTGAACCCATGACAACACTGCATAAAATTGCTGCATACATTTAATGTGTTCCTTAAGAGAAAACTGATTCTTTTACACACTTACTGCTTCTTTAGGTCTTGTAAAGCTTTATATTGATCCATGTCATTCCATTCCAAAGTGGTGATTTCATTTTTGGACATTCCAGCAAAGGCATAGATAAGGTGAGTACAGAGGCATGGGTCAATATTATCAGTCTTAAAACTTCCAAGTCCGGGTCTGTACTGTGCTGAGCTGCTGAAGTAACATGTTAACTCATAGGCAGAACCTGTGTTTTGAAAAAGAGAAAGCAAGGTTATGATTAGCTTCTGCTCCCCCCACCCCAGTCTTCTGAAAAAATGACCTGTTACCAAAAGCTTCTTAAGCCCAAATCAGTTTTTGGGATTTTGGAACACCACATATCACCATGTATAATACCTTAGTGGTACACATAGTGAACTTGGCGTGGAGTTATTCACTTTAAGATCATTACAAAGGACATTTCCACAGATGGAAAGGCTTCTTCATAAGAGATGAAAATGTGAACTCCCTCAAGAGATAGCTCTGGCCAGCTCAGTAGATTGTTTTAAAAAAGAGCTGGAGTCATTCCTACATGCACAAAATATAACTGGATACTAACATTTATAAGGAATAGCACCAACAATTGTTGATCCAGGGACTATCCCATTCTCTTCCAGGGGGATTAGAAGGGAATTTATGTTTCCATGCTGAAGCAAATTGGACTATGTTTTATAGGATTTTATGACTTCTTCTGGATCAACTGTGGATATAGGATTCTGTATATAGAGGTATTCTATTTCTTTTTCTTTCTATTGGCTAAACTACGTTGTAGACATACTGCGTTTTTTTCAACCAGACTAACTATGTAACTATGAAATACTTCTAAAAGCATCTCTGATCAGTGGCGTCGCTATGGGGGTGCCGGGGGTGCAGACTGCACCAGGATAACACCAGCCAGAGGGGTGACAGTAGGGTTGCCACCTGTCCAGGACTCACCTGCACAGTCCAGGTTTTGAATCCTGTGTCTGGGTTTCAGTCCACCTGAGACCCACAGCACCAATCCTCCTCTCCCCATCTCCCTTCCCATCTGCTTTTAATTATATTGGTGTTGGGGGTGGGGGGGTGCTTTAACTCACTGTTCATGCTTAGCAGAATCTTTAACTCCACTCTGGATCCTCCAACCTTCTCCTTGCACAGAGCGTGGAATCAGATCAACTGTTTTGGTATTGTGAGGGAAGGGAGAGTGGTTTCAGCAGCGTGGAGAACAGAGCAAGCATTGGATGCAACAGTGATAGGTACGTCCAGAGCTCCATCACAGCCATCTCAACTGTGCAGATATCTTCTTTCTCTTCTGCCACAGCAAGTCGCCCCTCTGCCCTTGACCCTCTTATCACCCCCCCCTGCAGTCCTCCTAGCTGGGGGTCTTCTTTAACTGGAGGTGGGTTCCTATGTTCCTGGTTGGGGGTCCCCTCTTATCACCCCCTGCACTCCTCTTAGCTAGGGGTCTTCTTTAACTGGAGGGGGTTCTTATGTTCCTGGATGGGGGGTCCCTTCCTATCCCTCCCCTTCAGTCCTCTCAGCTGGGAGTCTACTTTAACTGGAGGGGGTTCCTATGTCCGTGAATGGGGTCTCTTCTTATCTGCCCCTCTGCAGTCCTCCTAGCTGGGTGTCCTCTTTAACTGGAGGTGGGTTCCTATGTTCCTGGATGGGGAAGGGCCCTCTTATTACCCCCCTGCAGTCCTCCTAGCTGGGGGTCTTCTTCAGCTGGAAGGGGAGGGCGGGAGTTCCTGTATTCCAGGATGTTGGGGTCTCCTCTTATCACCCCCCTGAAGTCCTCCTAGCTTCATTTACAGGGGCCGGTTTGGGGTGCACATCGTGACCATGCGCTAACGGCCCACAACTAGCCTTCCCAGCACCCTGTAGGGCACTGTGGAAGGCTAGACAGGAAAGAGCCTGATGCGCTAGCCTGCCCAGTGTCTATGTTATTTGGGAAAAAAATTATTGGGGAGGAAGTGACACCATGTTTTACCACACCAGGCGACACCAACCCACTGTCTCTGATACTTTATCAGCCTTGTCTAACAAGAACAACATTTGGGGTATAGGGCTGGGTAGGATTTGGAAAACATGTTAGCCTAATTCATTATGCTATGAGTTGTAGGTATGGATTGAAAGTATATAAATGAAAACCCACACTGTTTATGCCAGTACCTTCATTTGGGTATCCAAAAAATTAAAGGCTCTAGGACCACTGTCAGCAATGGAATCCTCAACTGAGAAACAAGAAATCAAAGCCTTCAAAAATCCTTCAAAGCAAATTCTCAAATAAAGGATTCAGTTGCCGGCAGCACTTCTACAGGGTTTAATATATTGGACATTGGGATTCCTAGATCTAAGGTACTGATGGAAATAGCATGCATACTAATTTACATATGTTGAATCAATGGCCTGCAGCAGCCTAGACATCTCTCAGTTAATATCCCACATTACCTCTGAAAATGGATTGTACAATCTTTGCCTTTGATGACTATATTAGATTAATAAGAGTAAAGGGGATTACAAGGAGTGACCATGTAAATTAACTGAAGCACAACAGACCAAGCAGTATATTAAATTGGATAGCATACTGGATGGAAGAAACAAAGCAACCTGAATAATAAACACATAACAAAGACAAGACTCAAGCTAGGCAAGTTTGCAAGCTAACATGGCACATAATACAAGGCACATAATACAAGACAATGATACAAGGTAGTAAGGTATCAACATGTGTGAGGTTACAGGGCAGATATATACAAGATGTAAGATAATAAGATATTGAGATACAAGATAAGAAAAAAAGGCATTGATATACATGGTACATGATAACAAACCAGAAGATACAATATGCCAAGCAAAAACTGGCAAGATAAAGGCTGGAATAGCAAAAGCATGGCATTAAATTTGATATGATATCTATCATGCATCAGACTAAAGTCAAAAGGTAAGTCAGTGCAAACAATGCACATACAGTCAGGTCCATAAATATTGGGACATCAACACAATTCTAACATTTTTGGCTTTATACACCACCAAAATGGATTTGAAATGAAATGAACAAGATGTGCTTTAACTGCAGACTGTCAGCTTTAATTTGAGGGTATTTACATCCAAATCAGGTGAACGGTGTAGGAATTACAACAGTTTGCATATGTGCCTCCCACTTGTTAAGGGACCAAAAGTAATGGGACAGAATAATAATCATAAATCAAACTTTCACTTTTTAATACTTGGTTGCAAATCCTTTGCAGTCAATTACAGCCTGAAGTCTGGAATGCATAGACATCACCAGACGCTGGGTTTCATCCCTGGTGATGCTCTGCCAGGCCTCTACTGCAACTGTCTTCAGTTCCTGCTTGTTTTTGGAGCATTTTCCCTTCAGTTTTGTCTTCAGCAAGTGAAATGCATGCTCAATCGGATTCAGGGCAGGTGATTGACTTGGCCATTGCATAACATTCCACTTCTTTCCCTTAAAAAAACTCTTTGGTTGCTTTTGCAGTATGCTTTGGGTCATTGTCCATCTGCACTGTGAAGCGGCGTCCAATGAGTTCTGAAGCATTTGGCTGAATATGAGCAGATAATATTGCCCGAAACACTTCAGAATTCATCCTGCTGCTTTTGTCAGCAGTCACATGATCAATAAATACAAAAGAACCAGTTCCATTGGCAGCCATACATGCCCACGCCATGACACTACCACCACCATGCTTCACTGATGAGGTGGTATGCTTAGGATCATGAGCAGTTCCTTTCCTTCTCCATACTCTTCTCTTCCCATCACTCTGGTACAAGTTGATCTTGGTCTCATCTGTCCATAGGATGTTGTTCCAGAACTGTGAAGGCTATTTTAGATGTCGTTTGGCAAACTCTAATCTGGCCTTCCTGTTTTTGAGGCTCACTAATGGTTTACATCTTGTGGTGAACCCTCTGTATTCACTCTGGTGAAGTCTTCTTTTGATTGTTGACTTTGACACACATACACCTACCTCCTGGAGAGGGTTCTTGATCTGGCCAACTGTTGTGAAGGGTGTTTTCTTCACCAGGAAAAGAATTCTTCGGTTATCCACCACAGTTGTTTTCCGTGGTCTTCCGGGTCTTTTGGTGTTGCTGAGCTCACCGGTGCGTTCCTTCTTTTTAAGAATGTTCCAAACAGTTGTTTTGGCCACGCCTAATGTTTTTGCTATCTCTCTGATGGGTTTGTTTTGTTTTTTCAGCCTAATGATGGCTTGCTTCACTGATAGTGACAACTCTTTGGATCTCATCTTGAGAGTTGACAGCAACAGATTCCAAATGCAAATAGCACACTTGAAATGAACTCTGGACCTTTTATCAGCTCATTGTACTTGGGATAATGAGGGAATAACACACACCTGGCCATGGAACAGCTGAGAAGCCAATTGTCCCATTAGTTTTGGTCCCTTAACAAGTGGGAGGCACATATGCAAACTGTTGTAATTCCTACACCGTTCACCTGATTTGGATGTAAATACCCTCAAATTAAAGCTGACAGTCTGCAGTTAAAGCACATCTTGTTTCATTTCAAATCCATTGTGGTGGTGTATATAGAGCTAAAAATGTTAGAATTGTGTTGATGTCCCAATATTTATGGACCTGACTGTATATACATATATGAATGGGCTCATTATAAAGGAGACATAGGGTAGGGCAAGGCTAGATGAGATGTGAGGCAGAGCAGGATAGAACCCCAATCAAAGAACATGAGACATGTATGAAGAGTTTGTAGAAAGGAAAGTACCACAAGTGGGAAAGCTGCACTGAGAAACAGGAGTCTTGAAACTGGATGCTGACATACAGGAACATAACTTATTTAGCAAGCTTAACGTGTTATTTTATACATAAAGAAAATACATCTTTTTTAAAATATATTATATAGTAATTATGTTCATTACAAAACAAGGATGGATTAGCACTCCTATTGGGTTTCATTATTTACGGGACTTTGTTAGCACAATTTCTCCTCACTGAGGCTTGTTTCATACTGCTGCAACCCCAAAGTCATGCAATTTCCAGTGCAGCTTTGCATTGCGACGTGCTTGCAACTTGACGTGACTTCATTGTGACATTGGTTAATCATAACAATATATAGCGTGACACATATTATTTAACTTACAAATCCTCTCTAGTTGCAGCCAAAGTCACAAAGATAAGACAAAGAAATGACTTCCTTGCTACTTTTGTGATGTTATCATTGCAATATATGGTACTCATGTCACAAGGAAGATGCAAAAAGTAGTGCAGGAACTATTTCTTTTGTCAACTTGAGTTGCAGCAATTAGGATGG